ACTAGCACTCGACGAGTAGTGCCAGAGCGTAGCTCGAACTATGATGGCAGCAGAGTATGAAATCAGGGTTGTCACAATGTTTTTATTTCACGTCATTTCTCGTCTGTCTGTCGTGCTTAATGCTTTGTCATGGTTCAAAACTGACACGCGAAATTTCGACCACTCTTAACTGACCAATGACTCTGAAACTAGGCACATGGGTCAAGACCCTATGACAATGCAATCTGGCACCAAATTTGTGTTAGTTGATGCTATTTAATTTTTAATGAATTATTTTAAATTTCCTATATCAAGTACTATTTACGGCAATTGTTTTTAGTCATGAGATTCTATTGTATTAAACATTTTATGTATTTAAAAAAATAAATAAAACATATTTAATACGAAGCTTTATATAGCTACTAGCCGTCCCGGCCAGGCCCTGCACTGGCCTCTGTGAAAAACCTATCTGTCAAGGACTATGACATGTATGTTTTGTAATCTGTAGATACACGGCATTGCCCACCACAACCACCAAAAACAAAAACACGCAAAAAAAAAAACAAATACAAACACAAAGGAAAACACCAACACAAACACAAACAAAAAAAGTAAACTAAAACAAACCAAATCCACACCCAAACGCAAACCCACCCCAAACACAAAGAAAACAAACGCAAACATAAAAGCAAAGTGCTCAAAGTCTAGCCAGGGCTCCAAATTGCACCATGCTGGGGCGCCGGCGGAACCGCCTGTTTTAGCTTAGTAAACAAAGATAGTACCCCAACTCATTCATAGACCTTTGAACTCACTTAAACGAACGTAGGCGCCATAGCGAACACGGGAAGGCCCGGGGCGCCAAATAGCACCTAGTCTCAGCGCCAGAGGACGCCCGGATTTGATTCACCTTTCTTATCCAATAGTCTATCGCACTGTTTAAAACGAAAATATGCACCATAGCGCTCACAGCATAGCCCCAGGGCGCCAAATCGAACCGTGCCGGGGCGCCGGCGTACGCGCCTGTTTCAATTTAGTGAACTATTATAATGCTTATCCGCGAAACGGAAAGAAGTAAACATAGAGGACATTTAGGAGCTGATTTCTTAACTGTTATTGATTAAAAAAAAATTAGTAAACAGTACGTTCAGTGTATAAACCCCTACCTCCCCCCCCCCCCCGTCGTAATGTTTTTTTTTATAAGGTGAAGTCGTTGTGTTTTTATTAATTTATTGAGCTGATTTCTTAACTGTTATTGATTAAAAAAAAATTAGTAAACAGTACGTTCAGTGTATATACCCCTACTCCCCCCCCCCCCCGTTGTAATGTTTTTTTTAATAAGGTAAAGTCGTTGTGTTTTTAGTAATTTATCGAGGGACGTAATGAGTGCTAAAGCACCGATTGTAAATAATTTTTAATTTTTCAGACATAATTAGAATTTTTGTGAAAGGTGATACATTTTTAAAAATTTTATTTGATGGACATGCCGAAAATTATTACTATAAGTTTGAAAAATGAACTTTGTTTTACAACACGTTCAGTATTAACTTTTTAAGTAATTAATTTAGACGATAAGCACTTTAGACATATTACACTATGACAACAATAATAATTAAATTCTTATATTCCTTTGTAATCTGCGGTTTACCCGCCCATACAATCATACAGAATTTAACTTTATATAGTAGATGTACTAATGATTTCTTCTTAGAATATATAATAATGTACTACTATTTAAATAACTTCAAAGAAAAGCGTGGGCTACCATGTTTTGTATTGAATGCCTTGACTAAAATTTAACATGAAATCGACATAATTACATTTTGATTAATTTTAAAATCATATCAAAGATTGCTGTTTTGATCAGATAACCACACCTCTTCTGGTTGTAAAAACGTATTTGACCACACCCTATCTGGCTGTGATTTGACCACACCCTATCTGACTGTGCTGAATTGACCACACCCTATCTGGCTGTGACTTGACCACACCCTATCTGGCTGTGTTGATTTGACCACACCCTATCTGGCTGTGTTGATTTGACCACACCCTATCTGGCTGTGTTGATTTGACCACACCCTATCTGGCTGTGATTTGACCACACCCTATCAGGCTGTGACTTGACCACACCCTATCTGGCTGTGATTTGACCACACCCTATCTGGTTGTGATTTGACCACACCCTATCTGGCTGTGATTTGACCACACCCTATCTGGCTGTGATTTGACCACACCCTATGTGGCTGTGATTTGACCACACCCTATCTGGCTGTGTTGATTTGACCACACCCTATCTGGCTGTGTTGATTTGACCACACCCTATCTGGCTGTGATTTGACCACACCCTATCTGGCTGTGATTTGACCACACCCTATCTGGCTGTGAATTGACCACACCCTATGTGGCTATGATTTGACCACACCCTATCTGGCTGTGTTGATTTGACCACACCCTATCTGGCTGTGATTTGACCACACCCTATGTGGCTGTGATTTGACCACACCCTATCTGGCTGTGTTGATTTGACCACACCCTATCTGGCTGTGATTTGACCACACCCTATGTGGCTGTGATTTGACCACACCCTATCTGGCTGTGATTTGACCACACCCTATGTGGCTGTGATTTGACCACACCCTATCTGGCTGTGTTGATTTGACCACACCCTATCTGGCTGTGTTGATTTGACCACACCCTATCTGGCTGTGATTTGACCACACCCTATCTGGCTGTGATTTGACCACACCCTATCTGGCTGTGATTTGACCACACCCTATCTGGCTGTGTTGATTTGACCACACCCTATCTGGCTGTGTTGATTTGACCACACCCTATCTGGCTGTGCTGATTTGACCACACCCTATCTGGCTGTGATTTGACCACACCCTATCTGGCTGTGCTGATTTGACCACACCCTATCTGGCTGTGTTGATTTGACCACACCCTATCTGGCTGTGTTGATTTGACCACACCCTATCTGGCTGTGATTTGACCACACCCTATCTGGCTGTGATTTGACCACACCCTATCTGGCTGTGAATTGACCACACCCTATGTGGCTATGATTTGACCACACCCTATCTGGCTGTGTTGATTTGACCACACCCTATCTGGCTGTGATTTGACCACACCCTATGTGGCTGTGATTTGACCACACCCTATCTGGCTGTGTTGATTTGACCACACCCTATCTGGCTGTGATTTGACCACACCCTATGTGGCTGTGATTTGACCACACCCTATCTGGCTGTGATTTGACCACACCCTATGTGGCTGTGATTTGACCACACCCTATCTGGCTGTGTTGATTTGACCACACCCTATCTGGCTGTGTTGATTTGACCACACCCTATCTGGCTGTGATTTGACCACACCCTATCTGGCTGTGATTTGACCACACCCTATCTGGCTGTGATTTGACCACACCCTATCTGGCTGTGTTGATTTGACCACACCCTATCTGGCTGTGTTGATTTGACCACACCCTATCTGGCTGTGCTGATTTGACCACACCCTATCTGGCTGTGATTTGACCACACCCTATCTGGCTGTGCTGATTTGACCACACCCTATCTGGCTGTGTTGATTTGACCACACCCTATCTGGCTGTGTTGATTTGACCACACCCTATCTGGCTGTGTTGATTTGACCACACCCTATCTGGCTGTGATTTGACCACACCCTATCTGGCTGTGTTGATTTGACCACACCCTATCTGGCTGTGATTTGACCACACCCTATGTGGCTGTGATTTGACCACACCCTATCTGGCTGTGTTGATTTGACCACACCCTATCTGGCTGTGTTGATTTGACCACACCCTATCTGGCTGTGCTGATGTGACCACACCCTATCTGGCTGTGATTGGACCACACCCTATCTGGCTGTGTTGATTTGACCACACCCTATCTGGCTGTGTTGATTTGACCACACCCTATCTGGCTGTGTTGATTTGACCACACCCTATCTGGCTGTGTTGATTTGACCACACCCTATCTGGCTGTGTTGATTTGACCACACCCTATCTGGCTGTGATTTGACCACATCCTATCTGGCTGTGATTTGACCACACCCTATCTGGCTGTGATTTGACCACACCCTATCTGGCTGTGATTTGACCACACCCTATCTGGCTGTGATTTGACCACACCCTATCTGGCTGTGATTTGACCACACCCTATCTGGCTGTGATTTGACCACACCCTATCTGGCTGTGTTGATTTGACCACACCCTATCTGGCTGTGTTGATTTGACCACATCCTATCTGGCTGTGATTTGACCACACCCTATCTGGCTGTGATTTGACCACACCCTATCTGGCTGTGATTTGACCACACCCTATCTGGCTGTGTTGATTTGACCACACCCTATCTGGCTGTGATTTGACCACACCCTATTAACTATTTACAATTAACTACTAGACATCCAACAAACGGTGTCAATTAACTATTAAAACAAGTTAATTAAAAAAGTCTAGTGACATTTATGCGCAATTTCCTTATGCTATCTAAAAATAGCTCTGACGTATAATGATGGGGTGCGTTCAAGCTAGAAGAAAGATCGGTTTGTAGGTGTTTATGTAATTTTAAAATTTGTGACCGAACGAGAGGATATTTTTGAAAACTTTCTTCGGCAATATTGTTCTAAATTATGGCAGGAATCGATTGGTACATGTTTCAAGTCGCTAAGTGGTCTGGTTGCCGAGATATGGGCCAAAAACTGCATTTTTTCGAGGTTTTTTGGCTTTTCCGGGAAATACATGAAAGAAACCCGGAATTTTTATGGCCTATGCTCATTCTCCTAACTTACTTAAGATAATTGCTTTTGGAACTAGTCATCGATATTGCTTCGTTAAGGAGGAGATACGACTTAAAGCCCGGACACACATTCATCCATCCATCCATCCATTCCCAGAAATGACGAGTTAATAAACGCAATTCTCCAGAATGGAAATTGCGCTAAAAACTGTATGAACATTGTCACATTTGTAATACATTTTTAAAAAAGATAAAAACTTGTGTATAGTATTTTATTTCCAAAAGTAAAGAGATTAGGATGTATAGAAGTGCTCCAAAAGTCGAAAAGTAGCAACAGAGGCCAAGATGTTTGGAAATTTTAAGCTAAAATCTGACCAGTCAGAGTCCGTTATTATGTGTAAAAACATTTTTTTTCAAATCATACATTTTAAAAAAAACCAAATAAAATAATCTTAAGTACTGTCTATTTAGAGGTAAAATATTTTCTTTGGTATTCTTTGTCCGTGAGATTTTTTTCTGGGATAATTTGCCCTGAGATCATTAATTTGTCGTGGGATAATTTGCCCCTGAGATCATTTGTCATGGGATAATATGTCCGTGAGATATCTTGTTCTGGGATTGTTTTTACCTGTCTAAAAGTATATCGACTCCTCTTATAGCCTCTACACAACTAAAGTGTGTGGATTCTACTGCGTGTAAGTTGCCAAAATAAAATTGTAATCGATTCCTCAGCGATTATACAGTACTCGTATCGATTCTTCCGTGTATAAACATACAGGGTTTTACAGTAAGGATTTATCATTATCTTGTTAATCAAAAGATTACTCTGAAGGACATTTTGTATATACGATGGAGACTAGTTACAAGATGAACAAAATGTTATCTAGGAGGACCTAATAATATATTGGAGGACAAAATGTTATAAAATATCACAGGAGCAAATGACAACATAAAGGACCTAATTTTATACTGGAAGACAACATGTTATAAATTACCCCACAGATGAGAAAATGTCAAATGAGAGGACAATGTGTGAAAACTAAAAGACAGCAGGTTGACCAAGACTACATTGTCCAGTTCTCCAAAAGGCTAACTGTATCTGTGGACTTTCTCAGTGATCCTAACTGTATCTGTTGACTTTTTCAGTGATCCACTCTAGAAATGGGTAGACGGCCGTAGTAACAGGGGGGAGAATGTCACCGTGACATTTCTTGTCCCCGTAGGAGACGACGCCCGTGAGGTAGAACTTGTTGCTCAGGGCGCAGACCAGGGGGGAGCCGACGTCCCCGTAGCACAGGTCGGTATTTGAGAGCAGGTCCAGGCAAATGTTTTGGTCGTCCACATCGCCGTTGGCCACCACCTGCCACAGAAAGAAGCACAGGTACTGGTCCAGTTTGGTCACCTTCAGGTACTGCAGCCTGGGTGACTGTCGCTTCTTGTGGCTGGTGATGCCCCAGCCGCTGACGTAACAGGGTGTGGCGTCCATCAGGCTGTCTGCTAGCATGCAGATGGGTTTGATTTTATCCGTGTAGTGGACTTTTTTCTTCAGCTTCAGCAGCGCGAGGTTCGCTTGCCGGGTGATGTTGTTGTAGTCGTCTTGGCGGATGGTGAAGTCCACATCGATGGTGACGGCGTCGTGTGCGTGCAGCTGGGTCTGGCCTAGGATCACCTTCCCGGGTTTACGGGACACCAGGCAGGCGGCCGCCGTAAGGACCCACTGCTGGCTGATGAGGGCCCCGCCGCAGACCTTATCGTCCACCTGGTACAGGGCCATCCACGGGAAGGCGCCGTCCTGCGCAACCAAGCCGCTGATGATGTTCTCCTCGAACATCCTCGGGTAGTTGTTGGTGCCGCAGTCTTCGTATTGGTCTATGGCTTCCGGGTTGTAGGTCTCATCCATGTAGTTGGGAAGCTCCCCGCGGTGGTAGAGGTAGTTGTTTCTCACGCTGTCAAGCGAGCCCATGGGCTTGGAGGAATACGTACACTGGACCACAGTTTTGGCGGCTCCAGGACGGAGGAGCTAAAACAAAAAGTTTGTCATGGGATTAGTCTCCGTTTTAAGGAATCGGGAATTAGTCTCTGTGTTAAGGAATCGGTGATTAGTCTTTGTTTTAAATAATTGGGCCATCATTATAGCTAGACAACACACACACACACACACAAATACACACAGAGCGACCAAACTATGTAAGGCCACCTTATTTCTAGACAACACACACACACAGCAACTGCATAGTACAAACATACCAGCAGTGTCAGTAGGAAAGAAAGTATTTTTATCAGCAACATCATTGGCAGTCTAAAGTAGATAGCAACATCATTGGCAGTCTAAAGTAGATAGCAACATCATTGGCAGTCTAAAATAGATAGCAACATCATTGGCAGTCTAAAGTAAATAGCAACATCATTGGCAGTCTAAAGTTAATAGCAACATCATTGGCAGTCTAAAGTAAACATCATTAGAAGCTCTGCAATCATAAAGCAACGCGGTACAATTGGGTAGGTCTGCAATTGACATTGATGTGTAAGTGCCCTTTTTAACAAGTCTCTATCACAGTATTTTATTGAGTTAACGTGCTAGCTCAAAAAGCATTTGGCACTAGATCTATATATTCATTATCGTATTAGACGTGTATATTGCACATTGCATTAGTCTTTGTCATAAGACATTGACACTGGATAGGTAGAAAGTAGAGTTGAAATGAAAGTTTTAAAGGACGCGAGCTAGAAGGTATTCGAGAGGCCCATTAATTAATTTAAAAATCATACACAGCGTAGTTACAATTAATATGGTAATAAAATCCTGTCTGTCTGGTTTTTTTCGGACTTTAATAAAGATTGGATGTATTTGATGTTTTTAATATTTTCGGTAACTAAATAAAATTAAAAAAAAAAAAGCAAAAACAATTCGGGTTTCACGTGTAATGGCGACATAAACAATGGCATCCTGCTATTCGATAAACTGCAATAAATTTTATTGTACTCATTGTAAGCTGAAAAAGGAAAAACTAGGTCATGGGGTTTAAATTTGCATTGTTATTTAAAAACTTTATCTGCAAAGTTTTGTAAACATATAATTATCGATCACGGAGTTCCTGTACAGCCAATCAATATGTGTCTTACGAAAGTGAAACATCCGGTTATAACTTAGGCTTGATGAAAATAAATAGAAATGTAGCTTTAAATTCAACACATTATTTTCAAGTTCTCTGGATTTGCAACTTTTAAAGCATTTATTCTAAAAATATAAAATTTCTAAGTTAATTAAAATAGGCTTAAGTTTTTATTTTTTATTATTTTTACGGTCTAAATCTAAAAAGCACGTTTTTACCCCATGTCAACAACATGATGGAAGGATTTTCGTCAACTCACTCGCCTCCATTCAACTTGATATGTCGTTTAGTCTGTCAGCCATTTTGGTAGCTTATTCTAGTGTCAGCACATGAGTAGTATATTCTATATTTATAAACGAGTAGGTTTTCAATTAAAATAGGCTTAAGTTTTTATTTTTTATTATTTTTACGGTCTAAATCTAAAAAGCACGTTTTTACCCCATGTCAACAACATGATGGAAGGATTTTCGTCAACTCACTCGCCTCCATTCAACTTGATATGTCGTTTAGTCTGTCAGCCATTTTGGTAGCTTATTCTAGTGTCAGCACATGAGTAGTATATTCTATATTTATAAACGAGTAGGTTTTCAATAGTACAGATCTAGATCTAAATCTAGATCTAGGATAATTCTAGAATCTAGATCAATGTCTAGATTCTAGGGTAAAACCTTAGTGTCAACCCCCCTAAATATTACATTTGACTTTATTATTTATATTTATATATATACATATTTTATTATAACATCTACTAATTTAAATCTACTATAATATTTATTTCTGTTTCCTTTTGTCAATTAAATTTAAAAAATTAAAACATTAATTTACTACAATCGACTTTCACTTTATTTATATTTGAATGGTCAAATATACCATAGTTTACCGTAACTTTAGTAACCGAAACTCAACAAACATTACCCGATAATTTCCGACGCTAAACTAAGGCATTACCGATTCTAAAATCTAGATCTAGACTAGATCTAGATCTAGATCTAGAATCTAGATCCAGTAAACTCAACACTATGATAGATCTAGAGAGGATCTGAAAATAGAACTGCACTTGTTTCACATTAAAAATATTATCGTAGTTATTTGTTTACTTACATAAACTACTTGAAAAAAGTCGTAACATCTTTCTGTGGCAGTAGAACATATGTTGTGTAAACCTAAATCTAAGAGTTAGTTAAAAATTTAAAAAATATAGTGTATAAAATTGGTATGATGCGCAAAGACGTTGTCCATGTGAGACTGGTGCTAGACGGTGCAATGTTAGCAACTTTTCGCACCATTAAAGCATACTCTAGTTTCTTGCGTGTTTCAAAGATAAATTGTACGATTGCATTACAGCCTAGTTCACGGGTTGCAAAGTTTTTAGTACTTAGATTGAGTATAATGTGGGTCTATGTTGTAAGTTGATGGCTTATCAATAATAAAGTGTTTACGAAATTCTCAGTAGGCAACCTACAATAATGTGGAATGTATAGTTTTGTTACTTACTACACGTCAAAACATCTGAAAAATACAAACCCGCTCCCCTCCCTCCAAGCACGCTCTCACAAACACACACACACACAAATTTACTACGAAAAGAGATGGCTCTAATTTTAAGACACTTTGAACGTGAGTATCAGTGGCGTAACGAGGTCGGGTGTCACCCGGTGCGGCACTTAATGGTGTCACCCCCCAGAGGCGTAGCGACCCTTCCCGGGGACAAACTTTCAATTTTCGATTTGCACCCCCTCCCTCAAACTTTCGATTTGCACCCCCCCCCCCCTCACATTTTTCCGTATATGTTTTGCTATTTTTTTTTGCCTAGGTGTCAACCCCTCTAAATAGAGTCACCCGGTGCGGTCCACACCCCCGCACCCCCCCTCGCTACGCCTCTGGTGATTATTGAGATGACTAATTTCCTCGTTAGAAAGAGAGGGACCGCGCGCTTTGTTACGAACAATTTTCATGCCATTTACCTGCAGGTACCCGATCATATAGGCGTGAGTAACAAACAAACCCAACTTTGTCTTGTGTATATAGATCGATACAAAAGGTAGATGGGAAAAGCTAGGTCTTGTACTAAAATGTCTTTTTCCAGGAAATGCAAATAGAAAAAAAAAACAGTCTATAGTCAGTCGTTGCTCAACAGTTTTATTATATGGTGATTCGATGGAGTCATTGCATGTAGGAATGGTGGAGTTATAGCGTCTTGAAATTGTCGAGTCATTGCATGTAGCAATGGTGGAGTCATGGCGTCTAGCGTAATTAGTTTTATTACAAACAATATTATCTAATGTATGGTAGACGCACAGTTTTCTAAAAAAATTTACAAGTCGGAAAAAACAAACAATTCGCAACATCACGTATTCAAATGACATGCTAACAACTAAGCTAATTAGCTAATTAGTGTTGAACGCGACTAGGATTAAGTGATTTTTAGCTAAACATACATTGCCCCACATCAATTCAGTTTAAAGTTTCACACAACGCACTCTTTCAATCATAAATAAAATGTCAAGATCCGCTGTTTAAAGTTTCACACAACGCACTCTTTCAATCATAAATAAAATGACAAAATCCGCTGTTTAAAGTTTCACACAACGCACTCTTTAGTATATCATAAATAAAATGTCAAGTTCCGCTGTTTAAAGTTTTACACAACGCACTCTTTAATATATCATAAATAAAATGTCAAGATCCGCTGTTTAAAGTTTCACACAACGCACTCTTTCAATCATAAATAAAATGTCAAGATCCGCTGTTTAAAGTTTCGCACAACGCACGCTTTCAATCATAAATAAAATGTCAAGATCCGCTGTTTAAAGTTTCGCACAACACACGCTTTCAATCATAAATAAAATGTCAAGATCCGCTGTTTAAAGTTTCGCACAACGCACTCTTTCAATCATAAATAAAATGTCAAGATCCGCTGTTTAAAGTTTCACACAACGCACTCTTTCAATCATAAATAAAATGTCAAGATCCGCTGTTTAAAGTTTCGCACAACGCACTCTTTAAATCATAAATAAAATGTCGCACTCTTTCAATCATAAATAAAATGTCAAGATCCGCTGTTTAAAGTTTCACACAACGCACTCTTTCAATCATAAATAAAATGTCAAGATCCGCTGTTTAAAGTTTCGCACAACGCACTCTTTCAATCATAAATAAAATGTCAAAATCCGCTGTTTAAAGTTTCGCACAACGCACTCTTTAAATCATAAATAAAATGTCAATATCTGCTGTTTAAAGTTTTGCACAACGCACGCTTTCAATCATAAATAAAATGTCAAGATCCGCTGTTTAAAGTTTCGCACAACGCACGCTTTCAATCATAAATAAAATGTCAAGATCCGCTGTTTAAAGTTTCACACAACGCACTCTTTCAATCATAAATAAAATGTCAAGATCCGCTGTTTAAAGTTTCGCACAACGCACTCTTTCAATCATAAATAAAATGTCAAGATCCGCTGTTTAAAGTTTCACACAACGCACTCTTTCAATCATAAATAAAATGTCAAGATCCGCTGTTTAAAGTTTCGCACAACGCACTCTTTCAATCATAAATAAAATGTCAAGATCCGCTGTTTAAAGTTTCGCACAACGCACTCTTTCAATCATAAATAAAATGTCAAGATCCGCTGTTTAAAGTTTCGCACAACGCACTCTTTCAATCATAAATAAAATGTCAAGATCCGCTGTTTAAAGTTTCGCACAACGCACTCTTTCAATCATAAATAAAATGTCAAGATCCGCTGAAAGGTGTCGCCTCCAGTTACAATGACTTTATTACATAGCATGACATACACAAAACGGGTTTACATCATTTCATTATGCTACATACAAGGTTGCGATATTGTTATCTGGTTTTGAATCTTGAAGGTCTACTGATTTGTTACAATGCTTGTATTCAAGGTTACAGTCTGGTGTATCCATAGGTCTAACTGTTACAATGTTTGTATCCATAGGCCTAACTGTTACAATGTTTGTATCCATAGGTCTAACTGTTACAATATGTGTATCCATAGGCCTACGAGCGTGTTACAATGTGGGTATCCATAGGTCTAACTGTTACAATGTTTGTATCCATAGGCCTAACTGTTACAATGTGTGTATCCATAGGCCTACGAGCGTGTTACAATGTGGGTATCCATAGGTCTAACTGTTACAATGTTTGTATCCATAAGCCTACGAGCGTGTTACAATGTTTGTATCCATAAGCCTACGAGCGTGTTACAATGTTTGTATCCATAGGCCTACGAGCGTGTTACAATGTTTGTATCCATAAGCCTACGAGCGTGTTACAATGTTTGTATCCATAGGCCTGCGAGTGTGTTACAATATGTGTATCCATAGGTCTAACTGTTACAATGTGTGTATCCATAGGCCTACGAGCGTGTTACAATGTGTGTATCCATAGGCCTACGAGTGTGTTACAATATGTGTATACATAGGTCTAACTGTTACAATGTGTGTATCCATAGGCCTACGAGTTTGTTACAATGTTTGTATCCATAGGCCTACGAGCGTGTTACAATGTGTGTATCCATAGGCCTACGAGCGTGTTACAATGTGGGTATCCATAGGCCTACGAGCGTGTTACAATGTGTGTATCCATAGGCCTACGAGCGTGTTACAATGTGTGTATCCATAGGCTTACGAGCGTGTTACAATGTGTGTATCCATAGGCTTACGAGCGTGTTACAATGTGTGTATCCATAGGCTTACGAGCGTGTTACAATGTGTGTATCCATAGGCCTACGAGTGTGTTACAATATGTGTATCCATAGGTCTAACTGTTACAATGTGTGTATCCATAGGCCTACGAGCGTGTTACAATGTGTGTATCCATAGGCCTACGAGCGTGTTACAATGTTTGTATCCATAGGTCTAACTGTTACAATGTGTGTATCCATAGGCCTACGAGCGTGTTACAATGTGTGTATCCATAGGCCTACGAGCGTGTTACAATGTTTGTATCCATAGGTCTAACTGTTACAATGTGTGTATCCATAGGCCTACGAGCGTGTTACAATGTGTGTATCCATAGGCCTACGAGCGTGTTACAATGTTTGTATCCATAGGTCTAACTGTTACAATGTGTGTATCCATAGGCCTACGAGCGTGTTACAATGTGTGTATCCATAGGCCTACGAGCGTGTTACAATGTTTGTATCCATAGGTCTAACTGTTACAATGTGTGTATCCATAGGCCTACGAGCGTGTTTCTTTAATGTTTTCTTTTATCCAGTCCAAATAGCTGTGGACGTTTGTGACGATGTCTGGGATGACCCGTCCGTTACAGTTGGGCTCGTAGTACGACAGGAGCCCCGTCAGGTAGTACCTGCCGTCCCGCAGGCAGACTAGGGCCCCACCTGAGTCCCCGCCGCAGGTGCCTTTATCCCAGGTGCTGTCCAGACACATCTGCCCGTTGTTGATGGTGAAGTTGACGAAGTGGTGCAGGTAGCAGCACAGGTACTGGTGCATGACCCACACCCGCAGCTGGTGCAGCTTGCTGTTGGGAGTCCGCACGGGCTCGTGCTCCGTGAAGATGTCGAGCTGGTGCTCCACGTTGCTCCAGCCGTTGAGGAAGCAGACGTCATCTTTGTAGGGGATCGTGTACTGCGGCCTGTCACCAGCCTCACTCCCTGACGTGTCACTATCACCTTGTATCGTGTCATTCGTACTCTGTGACGTATCGTTATTACTCTGTGACAGGTGACCTTCGCCCTGTGTCACGTGACCCTGTTGTCGATGCTGTGAGATGTCAGGTTGAAAGGGTCCCGCGGTGGGCAGACAGATGGGCCGGATGTGGTCAGTAAAGTTGAGCGGAGCGAGCAGCTTGAGCAGGGCGATGTCGTGTCTCCTGCTCTCGAAGTCGAACATTTGGTGCATGGTGACCTTGGCGATGCTCCGCTTGGCGATGTGGGGGTCCGTGTGCCGCTGGGCGTAGGAGTGCATGCCCAGTATGGCCGTGCCGGAGCGCTCTCGGTGGATGCAGTGGGCAGCGGCCAGCAGGTGGATTTCGTCCAGCACCACGCCCGTACACACGTGCTGGCCAAAGCGAACAAAGGCCACCCAGGGCCAGGCATGAGGCTCCGAGAGGGTGCCGGTCAGTCTGTATTTGGCGCCGTTGACCACGGGAATGCCGCAGAGAGGGTGGGGTGGGTAGACGAGAGGGGTGTGGGCGGGCCTTGTCCACTCGGCCATTTGACCCACGTCATGGTGGTACTCACTCCTGTAGACTTCCAGGTGATCTTTGGGTTTTGCCTTGTACGTGCAGCGTGGATGGGCTGCCGATAGGTAGCTTATCTGTTGGGGTAGTGAAAGTAGACAAATTGGTAGCTTATCTGTTGGGGTAGTGAAAGTAGACTTATCTGTTGGGGTAGTGAAAGTAGACAATTTGGTAGCTTATCTGTTGGGGTAGTGAAAGTAGACAAATTGGTGACACTAAGAAAGTAGACAAATTGGTGACACTAAGAAAGTAGACAAATTGGTATGACACTAAGAAAGTAGACAAATTGGTATGACACTAAGAAAGTAGACAAATTGGTATGACACTATGAAAGTAGACAAATTGGTATGACACTATGAAAGTAGACAAATTGGTATGACACTATGAAAGTAGACAAACTGGTATGACACTATGAAAGTAGACAAATTGGTATGACACTATGAAAGTAGACAAATTGGTATGACACTATGAAAGTAGACAAATTGGTATGACACTATGAAAGTAGATAAATTGGTATGACACTATGAAAGTAGATAAATTGGTATGACACTATGAAAGTAGACACATTGGTGACACTATGAAAGTAGACAAATTGGTATGACACTAGGAAAGTAGACAAATTGGTGACACTAAGAAAGTAGACAAATTGGTATGACACTATGAAAGTAGATAAATTGGTATGACACTATGAAAGTAGATAAATTGGTATGACACTATGAAAGTAGACACATTGGTGACACTATGAAAGTAGACAAATTGGTATGACACTAGGAAAGTAGACAAATTGGTGACACTAAGAAAGTAGACAAATTGGTATGACACTATGAAAGTAGATAAATTGGTATGACACTATGAAAGTAGATAAATTGGTATGACACTATGAAAGTAGACACATTGGTGACACTATGAAAGTAGACAAATTGGTATGACACTAGGAAAGTAGACAAATTGGTGACACTAAGAAAGTAGACAAATTGGTATGACACTATGAAAGTAGACAAATTGGTGACACTATGAAAGTAGACAAATTGGTATGACACTAGGAAAGTAGACAAATTGGTGACACTATGAAAGTAGACAAATTGGTATGACACTATGAAAGTAGACAAATTGGTGACACTATGAAAGTAGACAAATTGGTATGACACTAGGAAAGTAGACAAATTGGTGACACTATGAAAGTAGACAAATTGGTATGACACTAAGAAAGTAGACAAATTGGTATGACACTATGAAAGTAGACAAATTGGTATGACACTATGAAAGTAGACAAATTGGTGACACTATGAAAGTAGACAAATTGGTATGACACTAGGAAAATAGATAAATTGGTATGACACTATGAAAGTAGATAAATTGGTAAGACACTATGAAAGTAGATAAATTGGTATGACACTATGAAAGTAGACAAATTGGTAAGACACTATGAAAGTAGACAAATTGGTAAGACACTAAGAAATTAGATAAATCGGTATGACACTATGAAAGTAGACAAATTGGTGTGACACTATGAAAGTAGACAAAGTGGTGACACTATGAAAATAGACAAATTGGTGACACTATGAAAATAGATAAATCGGTATGACACTATGAAAGTAGACAAATTGGTATGAAACTATGAAAGTAGACAAATTGGTATGACACTATGAAAGTAGACAAATTGGTATGACACTATGAAAATAGACAAATTGGTATGACACTATGAAAATAGACAAATTGGTATGATACTATGAAAGTAGACAAATTAGTATGACACTTTGATACTGTAACTAGACATATAGTTATGACGTTACTATGCAAGCCTAAATAAAATTGATGGAAGTTATTTACCGGGGTAGCCTTTATGCCTTGTGTACTAACACCCCGTAGGTAGCCAGTGTACTTTAGTTCCTAACTACACCCCATAGGTAGCCAATGTAACTTAATTCCTAACTCCATACCCCGTAGGTAGCTAGGAGGCCTTTATTCCTAACTCCATACCTCGTAGCTAGCCAGGGTAACCTAATTCCTAACTCTATACCCTGTAGGTAGCCAGTGTAGCTTAATTCCTAACTCTATACCACGTAGGTAGCCAGGGTACCTTAATTCCTAACTCTATGACCGTCATGACGTATGACAATAAATCTCGATAACGAAGGTATTTAATCCTAGAAAATAACTCCTACACTACCATTCTGCATCTAAAGTATAACATGTAGAGTACACAGGCTTACGTTAGCACAAAGGCTTGGGTTACGACATAATGGTTGATAGCAAAAGGTTCCCAACGGAAAGAACGTACCAGTTTGATGCATACTAGGAAGAGAGCGATGCAAGGTTTATTCAACAACATTTCATTTGCCTGCAGCTATTTCCGCTTTTCGATTACTTGAAAAGTATGTGTATGACGTACTACGCTGTTCTTATTTGTATCAGATTTACTCCAATGTACTTGAATGAAATAATGTAAGATTTACTCCAATGTACTTGAATGAAATAATGTAAGATTTACTCCAATGTACTTGAATGAAATAATGTAAGATTTACTACAATGTACTTAAAATAAATAAAATAATGTAAGATTTACTACAATGTACTTGAATGAAATAATGTAAGTTGACATAAGGGATGATGAAAACCAGTTGCATCACTAGGTCAGGTGTCACCTGTGCGGTCTACACCCCCCCCGCCCCCAGCCACCAACGGTCTACACCCCCCCCGCCCCCAGCCACAAACGGTCTACACCCCCCCCGCCCCCAGCCACCAACGGTCTACACCCCCCCCCCGCCCCCAGCCACCAACGGTCTACACCCCCCTCCCGACCCCAGCCACCAACGGTCTACCCCCCCCCCAGCCCCCAGCCACCAACGGTCTACACCCCCCCCCCGCCCCCAGCCACCAACGGTCTACCCCCCCCGCCCCCAGCCACCAACGGTCTACACCCCCCCCCGCCCCCAGCCACCAACGGTCTACCCCCCCCGCCCCCAGCCACCAACGGTCTACACCCCCCCCCCGCCCCCAGCCACAAACGGTCTACACCCCCCCCCGCCCCCAGCCACCAACGGTCTACACCCCCCCCCCGCCCCCAGCCACCAACGGTCTACCCCCCCCGCCCCCAGCCACCAACGGTCTACACCCCCCCCCCCCCCGCCCACAGCCACCAACGGTCTACACCCCCCCCCCCGCCCCCAGCCACCAACGGTCTACACCCCCCCCCCGCCCCCAGCCACCAACGGTCTACACCCCCCCCCCGCCCCCAGCCACCAACGGTCTACACCCCCCCCCCGCCCCCAGCCACCAACGGTCTACACCCCCCCCCCCCGCCCCCAGCCACCAACGGTCTACACCCCCCCCCCCGCCCCCAGCCACCAACGGTCTACACCCCCCCCGCCCCCAGCCACCAACGGTCTACACCCCCCCAGCCACCAACGGTCTACACCCCCCCGCCCCCAGCCACCAACGGTCTACACCCCCCCCCCGCCCCCAGCCACCAACGGTCTACCCCCCCCCCCCCCGCCCCCAGCCACCAACGGTCTACACCCCCCCCCCCCCGCCCCCAGCCACCAACGGTCTACACCCCCCCCCCCGCCCCCAGCCACCAACGGTCTACACCCCCCCCCCCCGCCCCCAGCCACCAACGGTCTACACCCCCCCCCGCCCCCAGCCACCAACGGTCTACACCCCCCCCCGCCCCCAGCCACCAACGGTCTACACCCCCCCCCCGCCCACAGCCACCAACGGTCTACACCCCCCCCCCCCGCCCCCAGCCACCAACGGTCTACACCCCCCCCCCCGCCCCCAGCCACCAACGGTCTACACCCCCCCCGCCCCCAGCCACCAACGGTCTACACCCCCCCCCCCCCCCCGCCCCCAGCCACCAACGGTCTACACCCCCCCCCCCGCCCCCAGCCACCAACGGTCTACACCCCCCCCCCGCCCCCAGCCACCAACGGTCTACACCCCCCCGCCCCCAGCCACCAACGGTCTACACCCCCCCAGCCACCAACGGTCTACACCCCCCCCCGCCCCCAGCCACCAACGGTCTACACCCCCCCCCCGCCCCCAGCCACCAACGGTCTACCCCCCCCCGCCCCCAGCCACCAACGGTCTACACCCCCCCCCCGCCCCCAGCCACCAACGGTCTACACCCCCCCCCGCCCCCAGCCACCAACGGTCTACACCCCCCCCGCCCCCAGCCACCAACGGTCTACACCCCCCCCGCCCCCAGCCACCAACGGTCTACACCCCCCCCAGCCACCAACGGTCTACACCCCCCCCCGCCCCCAGCCACCAACGGTCTACACCCCCCCCCCCCGCCCCCAGCCACCAACGGTCTACACCGCCCCCCCCCCGCCCCCAGCCACCAACGGTCTACACCCCCCCCCCCCGCCCCCAGCCACCAACGGTCTACACGCCCCCCCGCCCCCAGCCACCAACGGTCTACACCCCCCCCCCCCCCGCCCCCAGCCACCAACGGTCTACACCCCCCCCCCGCCCCCAGCCACCAACGGTCTACACCCCCCCCCCCGCCCCCAGCCACCAACGGTCTACACCGCCCCCCCCCCGCCCCCAGCCACCCCCGGTCTTACAGGATATTATTGACCTCCACATCTTCTTTTTCCTTTTATATTCACCTAACGCCTAACTGAAGGTGTGTGTGTGTGGCGTGTGTGGTGTTGTGTGTAGTGGTGTGTGTGTGGTGTAGTGTGTGGTGTGTGTGGTTGTGTGTGTAGTGGTATGTGTGGTATGTGTGTGGTGGTGTGTGGTGTTGTGTGTGGTGTGTGTGGTGTGTGTGTGGTGTTGTGTGTGGTGTGAGTGGTTGTGTGTGGTTGTGTGTGTAGTGGTATGTGTGGTATGTGTGTGGTGGTGTGTGGTGTTGTGTGTAGTGTGTGTGGTGTGTGTGTGGTTGTGTGTGGTTGTGTGTGTAGTGGTATGTGTGGTATGTGTGTGGTGGTGTGTTGTGTGTGGTGTGTGTTGTGTGTGGTGGTGTGTGGTGTTGTGTGTGGTTGTGTGTAGTGGTATGTGTGGTGTGTGTGTGTGTGGTGTGTGGTGTTATG